GTAGTCCTTGCTGAACTGGAACTCACTATGTAGACCAGACTGGACTTGAACTCATGGAGATCTGCCTACCTCTGCCTCCCAAGTGCTGGGATCAAAAGCATGTGCCTGACTCATAGGTTTTTTGTTTTTGTTTTTTATTTTGGTCTTTTTGAGACGGGGTCTCTCTGAAGCCCCAGCTGTCCTGGAACTCACTATGTAGACCAGGCTGGCCTTGAACTCAAAAGGATCTGCCTGCCTCTGCCTCTCGAATGCTGGAATTAAAGGCATGTGCCACCATGCCCGGCATGGTTTTTTTTTTTTTTTTAAATTACTTTTATTTTATGTGCATGTGTATTACCTGCATGTAGGTAAGTGCACTCGTGTTGTGCAATGCCTACAGAGGACAGAAGAGGCTGTCGGATCCCCAGGAACTGGAGTTACAGTTGTTAGCTGCCATGTGGGTGCTGGGATTCGAACCTGGGTCTTCTGCAAGAACAGTCAGTGTTCTTAACCACTGAGCCATCTCTCCAGCCCCTCATAGTTTTTTTTAAGTACTAAAGAAAATATTTTTATTTTATGTCTATGAGTGTACTGCCTGAATGTGTGTAAGTGGGTGTTGGGAATTGAACCTGGGTCCTCTGCAAGAGCAGTCAGTTCTCTTAACTGCTGAGCCATCTCTCCAGCCCCACCATTCACAGTTTTTAATAAAATTTTTTTTTAAATTTTAAAATTTATTGTGGTGGCACTCATCTTTAATCCCAGTACTTGGGAGGCAGATGCAGGCAGATATCTGTGAGTTCCAGGTCAGCCTGGTCTATAGAGTAAGTTCTGGGCCAGTCAAAAATATATATAATTTTTTTTTAGGGGACTGGAGAGTTGGCTCAGCAGTTAGGAGTACTGGCTGCTCTTGCAGAGGATCCAATTTCAGTTCCTAATACTCACATGGTGACTAGCAACTGTCTTTGACTCCAGTTCTTGGGAATTTGATGCCCTCTTTTGACCTCCATGGGCATTGCATGACATGGGTACACTTACATACATGAAGGCAAAACAGTCATACATATATAATAACAGAAATAAACCAAAAAAATTTTTTTTCCCAATTTATTTAGTTTATTTTGAAACAGAATCTCATATCCCAGGCTGGCCTTGTGGAAGCTGAGGATGATCTTAAACTTCTGATTTCCTACCTCTACTTCCTGAAAGCTGGGATTCTAGCATGTTAGATAAGCATTCTACCAACTGATCTACATTACTCCAGCCCTAGTGTTTTTTTTGCGGCGGGGGGCGGGTACTATGTTGCCCAGTTTGGTCTGGGGCTTCTGGGCTCCAGCCATCTGTCTCCGCCTTAGGAGCAGCAGAGCCTATAATACAAGCACATGTAGTTGCCCAAGTTTCCCTTTCCCTTTTCCATTTAGAAGATGGCTCTCTATGTAGCCCAGGCTGGCTTGAACCTGTAGTGCTCCTGCCTCAGCCTTCCAATTGTTGGGAATACATGCATGTGTTTCCATGCTTGACCTTGTTATTTTAAAATCTCAAGCAGTCTTAATCATGGCAAGAAATTGGTAAAACTCTGGAAACACCAGTATTAATGGTTAAATTGTGTCCATCAAGGCTGGAGATGTAGCTCAATGGTGAGGGCTTTGATCCATAGCACTGCAAAACCACAAACAAGTAGTATTCCAAAAGCATATGTAGAAATCCTGGCCCTAACATTTTCAATATGGTACCATTTGGAAATGGAACGTTTGCAACTGGAATCACATTGTTTTACTTTCTTTCCTGTTGCTGTGATAAAATATTCTGAAAAAAGTAATTCAAGGGAGAAAGGATTTATTCTGGTTTACAGTTGAAGGGTATAGTCCATCGTGGTGGGGAAGACAAAGCAATAGGAGCTTGATGCAGCTGCTCACATTGCATCCACAATCGGGAACAGAGAGGGATGAATGCTGCCTGATGCTCAGCCCTTTCTTTCTTTATACAGTCCAGGATTCCCTGCCCAAGAAATGGTCCCACCAGCCACAATTAAGATGAGTTTTCCTACATCAATTTATGAAAAATTTTTATAGACATTCTCAGAGGCTAACCTTAATCTAGATAATCCTTCCCAGATGTGTCAAAAAGTTCATCTCCTGGGTGATTCTAGTCTTTCAATTTGACTGTACTAACCACCACAGAAGTCAGAATGAGATGATTAGATCAAATCCAATGTGACTGAGAGAAGAGAATCATGGAGAGGATGACAGACTGAGATTAGAGTAATGTAGCTGAAAGCCAAGGAATGTGAGGGATTGATAGCTGCTGCCAGAAGCTATGAAGAGTCAAAACCGATTCTCCTTTCACCATTTAGGGGATTGTGCCCATGCCAATACCTTGATTTCAGACTTGTAGGGTCCAGAAATGTGAGGCAGTACTGTGTTATTTTAAACTATCAGTTAATAATACTATGTTGTGGTAGTGCTAGGAAATGAATGTAAATTAAAGAAAATTTCACTCAGATTATCCTCACATGCTCCCTGGCTTATGGAATTTGTCCTGATATCCACTGGAAATCGAAAACAGGCCGAATTATGCTCCATACTTAATCTGTCAGACATCACAATTTAGCTTAGCCTACCTTAAACTTGCTCTGAGTATTTATTAGCTTATAATTGAACAAAATTATCTAACATGTTGTTTTGTTTGATAATAGTGTTGGCTATTTCACATAATTTTTTGGAAACAGAAAAATAGTATTTTATGGATATGCTTTTTGGGGGCGGGGTTGTCTTTTTTGACATAGGGTTTCCCTGTATCCCCAGCTGGCCTGGAACTTGATATGTAGACCAGGCTGGCCTCAAATTCACAGAGATCTGCCTGCCTGTGCCTCCCGAGTGCTGGGACTAAAGGAGTGCGCCATCACGCCTGGCTATGGATATCTTTTTATTTATTATTTTTATCTTATGTGTATGAGGGTATTGCTTGCATGTATGTAAGTACACCCATGTCATGCAATGCCTGCAGAGGTCAGAAGAAGGTATCAGATTCCCTTCAACTGGAGTTACAGATGGTTGCTGGGAATCAAACCTGGGTCTTCTGCAAGAGCAGCCAGTGTTCTTAACCTCTTCTCCAGCCCCTGGTTGTGCTTTTTTTATGTGTATGAGAATATTGCCTGCATATATGTAAGTGCACCTGTGTTGTGCAGTGCCTGCAGAGGTCAGAAGATGGTGTCAGATACCCTGGTACTGGACTACGGGTGCTGGGAATTGAACTTGGGTCCTCAGCAAGAGCAGACAGTGCTCTGCTGAGCCATCTCTCCAGCCCTGGATATGCTTGAAAAGCGTTGTAAAGGCAGAAAAATTGTAAGTCAAACCATTGCATTGTTTGTATCCTTTTAAATACTGTATAAATCTAGGAGACTGAAAAATAAAAGATTAAATATATATGGCTTATTTGTTGTACTGGCATTGAAACAAGGGCATGAAAGGCAAGTGTCTTCTACTGAGTTCACCATCGACCCCTAAGTACATAGATTTTTAGTGCTCTAAGATGACAGTGTCAAACACCTATTTCCTTTTGACTGTGATCAAATAAATAGTACTTGATTACCTTTGTTGTCATACATATCTGTGAAAGACTGGATAAAATATATGAAACTTTCTCAAGAGATGGGATAAAATGGAACTTAGAACTGTATTCCCTAAAAAAGGGAAGCAAAAACTGGACTTAGTGGTGTATACCTGTAATATTACTTAATGGGGCTAAGGTTTGATGGGGAACTGAGGAAAGAGGATTGCCATGAGTTCAAGGCCAGCGTGGTCTACATAGGAGACCCTATATTGCTATCTCAAACCAAACCAAGTAAAAAACCCAAAGAGAAACCAAACCAAACCTTAAACACACACACTTTGGAATGGAATCCCTTTGAGACATGATCTCTCTATGTTGCTATGTAGCCCAGGCCGGCCTCAATCTCTAGATCTCCTTGCCTTAACCACCTGAGTGCTGGGATCATTGGTGTGTCACAGAACCCCTCTTTAAAATGGTATTTTAAAGATGATTTGCTTATAGGGACATTTCTGCAGTTTAAAATGTTTAAAATGTGCAGTTATATCTCTGTATATCATGATGGATCTTTCCCAATTTGGTAGAACCCTTCAATTGGTGTCCTATATATAAACAATGAAACTAGTTATCTATAGAAATTGTTTAAAGGTAAGGTCTTTCCATAGTACTTTCTCAGAATCAGATACTTTTGGAGAGAAGACTGCAATTTGGAAAACTTCATAAGATCTCAGGTGACTTCTTTTTTGAGCGATAACTTTGTAAAAAATTAAAAAAAATTTTTTTTATATGTTTGAGTGTATTGCCTGCATGTATGTGAGTGCGCCCGTGTCATATAGTGCCACGGAGGGCAGAAGAGGGCTTCAGATTCCCCTGGAACTGGAGTTAAGAATGGTTTGTAGCCTCCATGTGGGTGCTGGGAATCGAACCCAGGTCCTCTGCAAAAGCAGTCAGTGGTCTTAACTGCTGAGCCATTTCTCCAGCCCCAACTTTGTAAAAATTGTTAATTTTGCATATGACATTTATCTTGTATTCTTTGTGAAAACGCTGTAGGATGAATTCGTAACTTTGGATTAGAGGGCATGCCCCCTTTGATAATTTAAACCTGCTATTATATGTTACTCAGCAAAATGACTTCTCTAGCCTGGTCTGTATACACTAGCAATACGAGGTCTTTTTAACCACTTTTCAGTATGCTCATGGACATTCTGAGACCTTATACTAGGGTTTCCAGTGTCTTACGTACCCAGGCTAGCCTTGGGATTACAAGCCTGTTTCATCATGCTTGGTAGTAACTAAAACATCTTAGTAATAAACTAACTCTAATATTTTACTGTAAGAAAACCATACTTTGTTTTATTAGAAACTCACTTGTGAAGTTTATAAATGAAAGCTTTTGATTCCAAGCTGGGAACTTTGGCCTTTTCAACACAAAACAGTATTGCTTACATAGACATTTTGTTTTGTTTTTCTATCAGGTGTGGACACCTCAAGATCGCCAGTCTATCCTGAATACTTTAGCACAGCTGCTCTTGGATAAAGATCATACTGTTTTGCTTGGCCGCCAGTTGCGCCCTATTCTTTTGGATTTGCTGGAAAGAAATGCTGAGGCCATTAAAACTGGAGGCCAAGTCAACCATGATCTACATGAACGTCTTAGTGTGTCAATGAGCAAACTCATTGGTAACCATCCTGACATTCTCCCGTAAGTAGCAGTTTTATTCACATTTTTTCCGGGAGGTGGCAGCACTTTTGTGGTAGCACTTGCAATAAGCCAAGTACTTGGGAGGTTAAGGTAGGAGGATTGTGAGGTTGAGGCCAGTCTCAGCTACAAGACCCCTGCATATCTAATGAAACAAACCAACCATTTTTTTTCCTGGTAAGTAGGGAGGGATCTGAGTTGAGAAGAGAAAAGGAAATACAGAAAGGAAAGGTAAGTATTGTCCTGAAAATAATCACAGTTTACTCCATTTAGCTCATGTACCCAAACATTGACTAGGTTTCTTGTTTGTTTGGTTTTACATAAGCCTTAGCTGGCCTGGAACTCCCTAGGTATACCAGGACAGCCTGGAACTCAGATCTGTTTGCTTTTGCCTTCTAAGTGCCGGAATTATCATGCCTATCCCCATCCCCCTTTGTTTAAAAACATTTCTTAAAAAATTTACCTGTTTATTTTGTAGGAGGTGACAAAGAGCTCAAAGGACAGATTGGGGGCCAGGAGTCATTTTTCTCCTACCATGTGGTTCCTGAGGATCAACCTCATATTGTCAGGTTGCCAGCAAGTATTTTTACTCACTGGGCCAACTTCTGGGCAGCTCTTTGTTTTTTGAGATAGTCTTACTATCTGGCCCAGGCTATCCTTGACCTTGTGATCTTCCTGCCTCAGTCTACCAAATGCTAGGAATACCAGACACCATCACTCCTGGCTTAGATATCATGACAGGTTTGAAAAAACAGCCAGAATATGTCTGCAGCCCTCTCAGATTGGCAAGACGTGCATATATATGATAAAGCTGAAGATGTGACAGGATTTTCTTTTGGAACAACTAAAGGGGTGAATTAGCAGAGCTTCAAACGGCTATAGAGAAGACTTAGCAGTTAAATCAGAATTTGGTTTCCAGTGCTGACAATGTTCCAAGGACTTTGACACCCTCTTCTGGCCTCTGCCAGGAGCTACATTCACAGGCACATAGATAACACATGAACACACAGACACATTAATAAATCTTTAAAGAAAAAAAAAAAAGCTGTTGGGCATCACAGTCCTTTAATCCTGGCAGAGGCAGGCAGATCTCTGTGAGATTGAGGCCAGCTTGGTCTATATAACGAGTTCCAGGCCACCTTGGGCTACAGGCAGACCCTGCCTCAAAAAGACACTCCCCCCCCAAAAAAAGAAAGAAAAAAAAATATATTAAAGCTTCAGGTTGGGAATAGCTAGCTTATTTGAGGGACACTTGCCTGGTGTGTAAGGCCTGGGATTCAGCCCCTATTGCCACCTGCCCCCTAAAAATCTATCTAAATCAGTGTGATATGAAACTGTTACAGAACTGGATTACTAAATTGGCAATAAATCATGTCTTGTGTGGACTTGTCAAGAAGCAAGTTACTAAGTTTCAGGGGCTGAGAGGATTAAACTTTTACTCTAGGAATCCACTGTTCTGTGTAAATTTATTAGTATTATTAAGTATACATCGTCTTTCTTGGAAGTGTGCTCTCCAGTTCTCATGACTAAATAAGAAATAAAGGCTTGTGGTAGCAAGGGACTGTTTTATATTATAAACTTTGCTAGACTCAAAGGAACTACCTTGTAGAACTGAAATGTGATAACTTGGAACTCTCACTTTCATTAAAGTTTTATGGCAGAATGTCAGGATCATTTGAGAATCATTAAGGTAATGAATTAGCTAAGTTTGTTTTCCTACCACCATCAAATTTTATGTTTTTCATTTTTCCAAGCCAGTATACTACTACCACTCCTCCCCCTCCTCCCCCTCCCCCCCCTCCTCCTCCTCCTCCATCACCATCATCATCATCATCATCATCATCATCATCATCATCATTTGGTCTTTTTTGAGACAGGGTCTCCTGGAAGCCCCAGCTGGCCTGGAATTCACTGTGTAGACCAGGCTGGCCTTGATCTCTGCCTCCCAAGTACTGGGATTAAAAGTGTGAGCCACCATGCTTGACTATAATGAGATTTTGATGTTTCATTTTGATTGCTTTTATGTTTTAGATTTCTAGCTAGTTAATTTGCCACCCCTTCATGTTAACACTGTACAAGCATATAGTGGCCTGTAGAAATAATGTTTTGCCTAATATATTTTGGTAGAATACAGTCATTATTTCAGTATAGTTCTTATTTTTAAGTACTAGGTCATGTTATATGGGTAAGAGACTCAAATATAATAGTGTTCCTATTCTTAATGGATCCAGAAGCATAACTTGGAAGTAATTGTTTATTTTTTACTCTTTCCAGCATGTATTAGTTAATTGGGTATCAGGGTTGAACCTAGGGCCTTGGACATACTAAAAAGCAGACATCTGGGGCTGGAGAGATGGCTCAGCGGTTAAGAGCACTGATTACTCTTGCAGAGGACCCGGGTTTGTTTGATTCCCAGCACCCACATGGCGGCTACGAACCGTCCTTAACTCCAGTTCCAGGGGAATCCGAAGCCCTCTTCTGACCTCTGCAGCATTGCACGACATGGGTGCACTCACATACATACAGGCAACACACTCCTACACATAAAATAAAAATAATAAAAATTGAAAGAAGACATCTACATCAAGTCATATCCCGAATAATGCACAAGTAAGTACAGTGTATTAATAATTTTTGGAGTAGAGAAGTGTGGGACATACTTGGTAGCAAGGAAATCATTAAAGGATGAAAAGTATGTATTAATATCTTGAAATTAGGCAAAGTTTGGTACTTTGATGTGGAACTAAAGAGAGAAAGTGAAGAGAATTGAAATAGAGGGAGAGAATCTAGTTCTAGCCAGGGAAGCTAAGCAGGAAGAGGGACCAGTCTCACTCCATAGAGCCCTGTGTTTTAGGTTTAGACTCCCTAGCATCCTTTCTGAGGCCCACTGTCTTCCATGAGATACCTCTGTAACTTTGTGAATACATTAAAAGTTTATTGTTCTGGGCCAGGTGTGGTGGTACACACCTTTAATCTCAGCACTTGGAGGCAGAGGCAGGTGGATCTCTGTGAGTTCGAGGCCAGCCTGGTCTACATAGTGAGTTCCAGGCCACCTGGGGCTACAGGGAGACCCTGTCTAAAAAAAAAAAAAGACCAAAAACACAACAACAACAAAAGTTTATTCTGGAGTGTGTTTATATTTAGAGTCTGAATCACTTTTATTCTTTGATAAATTCTTTGTAAGGTCTTGTGGAAGGCCATCCTGATCTATTGCTGTGTTTTGATTTTTATATAATTTTATATAATTTGATTAGTCCCATGTAAAAATTATATAGGGTTTTGGGTCTAGCTCATTGGTTGAGTCTTTGCCTACCTTATAAGTGTCCTTGAGTGTGATCCTCACACTGCAAAACAAAAACAAAATGTGATGGTTAATCTTGATTGTCATCTTGATGGGATTTGGATTTCAAATCATGGGAAGGAACCTAAACATGTTTGTGAAAGAGTTTCTAGTTTGGATGGAGCTAAGAAGACCCATCCTAACTGTAGGCAGCACCATTCCATGGGCTGCTGTTCTGGGCTGATTGAAAAGGAGAAAGTAAGCTGAGCACCAGCACTCAGCTCTGTACTTCCTGACTGTGGACTCAGTGTGACCAGCCACCCTCTGCTTCCCTGCCATGATGGAGTGTATGCTCTGTAATTTTAAGCCAAAATAGACCTTTCCTCCCTTAAGTTGCTTTTGTCAGGTATTGTGTCACAGTAACAGAAAAACCACATAAAACATCTATTTTGTTTCTAACTTTCCATTCTTCATCTTACATAACTTAATGCTTTCAAATTTCAATTATTGCTTTAGAGTTTCAGGTTATTATTGTATACATCATGTATTCAGTATTTTAATGTTAATGCTCTCACATCGTAACCTTATTTCTAAGTTCTGTACAACCTTCATCAGAACCTACTGAGAAACATGTCTGCCGTACACATAAGTTAAGTGATGTGATGGAAAAGAAGGTATTGTTTCCTTTTTTTTTTTTTCTGTTTGTTTGGTGTTTTTTTATTTTTTTTTGAGACAGAGTTTTCTTTTGACCACAGAGATGCACCTGCTTCTGACACCTGAGCCCTGGGGTTAAAGGCATGTGTCACTACACCTGGCCACTTGTTTTTAAATTTTTTTAGTGTGTAAAACCATGGCTTTCATAATAACATCTTTGTGTGTATATTCGTACGTGTATGTAATAGAGGCCAAAGGTCAATGTCAGGTGTCTTCCTCAATCACTCTTTTCCTTTAGTTTTAAATTCTTTTGTCTGTGGTATGTATACATGAGTGTTCTATGGTGTATGTGTATGTAAGAAGACAACCTTGGGTTTTAGTTACCTTCCACCTTGTTTGAGACAGAATTTCTTTTCTTTTTTTTAAAAATTATTTTTGTGTGTATGAATGTATTGCCTGCATGTATGTGAGTGCACCTGTGTCATGCAATGTCATGGAGGTCAGAAGAGGGCTTTGGTTCCTCTGGAACTGGAGTTTTCATAGCCGCCATGTGGGTGCTAAGAATTGAACCCAGGGCCTCTGCAAGAGCAGTCAGTGAGTGCTCTTAACCGCTGAGCCATCTGTCCAGCCCAAGACAGAATATCTTATTTTTCACCTGAAACTTCAGGCAGGAATTCTCTTCTTTGTACCTCTCATCTCACTATATGAGCACTGGGGTTACAAACACAAGCTACCATGCCTGACTTTAGGTGGATTCTGGGGATTTGAACTCAGGTTCTCATGCTTACATGGCTTGTGCTCTTACCCCCTGAACTATCTATCTCATACCTAGTACCCCCATGACATTTTCATACATATGTTTCCTTAATGTTTTGCACATACTTCCTCCCATGTCCCCCCTTATCCTTCCCTCATGCAGTTCTACTTCCATGTCATTATATGAGTGTTTTAAAGACAGATAAATATTATGTAAGTCTTAGATTCTGTATATGAGAAAACATGTAGTATTATGTCTTTACTCCTTAATACCCTTGTTTTCCCCCAATCCATTTAGACTCTTCCCCTACAT